ATTTAATTCTGCACAGAAGGAGTGGAGAATAGATCAAAGGGAGTTAACTGTCGGATGAGCGTAGGTCTGCACCCTAGCGGGCAGAATCTGAAGTTCTAGCCTAGTGGCAGTCATCCCAGCGGCCACCGAAAGAGTTCTTTGTCTTAGTCAGTTTTGAGGGTGATTAGCAAGAACGTAAGGACCTACGGCGCGTGCGTGCTTAATGGCCTTGCGAAACAAGCATGCGGCTGGCCTGAGAGGCGCGCAGAGAATTGCAATGACGGCACGGGGCATGGGAGGTCACGGTAATATCAGCCTACGCAGATAATCCACTCTTAAATTACAGAATGATACTTGCACGGTTCCAATCGAAGGGTAGACACCCAGTAGAAGATGACGCCGAGATGCAAAATATGAGTGGCTCGCTTATTTCGGGAGCTGTCTCCTTTAGCAGCTTGACTGGATTTAACTGGGACGTGATGTAGTCGCCCATTTCAAGTTTATTAGCTCTGAAAAAAATGAACTAACAAAAGCCAGTTCAGTCTGCGTTCGCCTCTTGACATGATGCCAAGCATATGATAAGCACGAAATGCAACTAGGCTACTTAGTGTGCTCAGCGCATGCAAACTTTTAGAAAGACATGATTTAACTTACTGAATATTTTAATCGTTGACCGCACTGCAGATCCAACATCAGCGTTTACATTTTTCATCACCAATCTGGAAACTGGAATACTGCAGATAGCGCATATAATGTGATTGGGTTGCCAGCAACCATATGGTGATTTCGTGCCGAAAATACACAGCATCCGCTTCGTAGGATTTAATGCATTTCCGAATAACATCTGCCGCGGTTTAACTTTTAGAACGCTCCTATATCTTTACATGTCCTCCATTAGCACAATTATTTCATAATTTGGTCAGTATTTCAGTGCATGGTTATAAACGTCAATATATTACTAAGTTGCGCTTCATATACAACTTTGGACCGGCTTAGAGGTCTTAGGGCAAAAGTGTGAACGCCACTCTAAACGTAAGACAGAAGTGTGTATTCCTCATACGATGAAAAAGATGAAAATGTTTTTATTTTTTCTGCCTGTTGCATTTAGGATAGTATCGCTACCAGAAATGTTTGACGGTTGTGATCAGTACGGCGTGGATCAGACAGTTTCGAGGTTTAGTCTTCCTCTCACGGCAACTCTTCTGGCGTCCGGACCGGCGGTCTTTATCAGCGCTGCCGCCATCTTCGTTGCCCAAACGGCACCAGAAATGCCGTCGGTTGGGACACTAGTAATCATCTGGTGAGTCAGTTTATGTAAATTTAAGCAGCCATCAGAATTTAAATTGGCTCAGCTCGTAATTGACTTAAGACACCCCCTCCAATTACTTAAACTTACAGTCTTGAATAAATCTGTCGCAAAGATTAATTTGTTCACATGTTCTCTGAGCAGTGCTCAGTTTGAGCTTGTTCTTCATAATAGACCAAGCCATTTTCAGCCGTCAGCGTAAGATCTGTTTTGTTTCGCCTCATGCAAAAAAGTCCAACTACATCTTAATGTAACCACCGAAGTAAGCCATTAGTTCGGGTTCTTCAAAGATTTGAACGAGGATTCAGGCAATTGAGTGATGGACAGTGATAATTAACATATTGTCAACACCTCAAAAACGCTGTTAGCTGAATTCTTGACTGTATTTACCATTAACGCAAAACGACCCGCAGTCAAATTCAGTTTAACATATATTGTTGTTATTGGTTTGTACACCGATCTATTTCTCAGGATGTGCCCATCCTGGGTT